TGCGAGATGTAAGAAGAGCTCACCACGGAATTGCTGTTGAAACTTTCACATACCTTGCCCAATTGTCCCGTCAGCGCTTTCTTCTCTCTTTTTCTTCTGTGACAACGAAATGGTCGCTCATGCGGAACGAGGTCGTTGAAAGCGTCATCGATCTCGCTGAAGACGTCGTCGAGGAGGTGGGGCAGAATCGCCGCTTCCCCAGTCCACGGATGAATGCAGATCGCCATAGTAGATTGCCTTGAAGATAAACCTCAAAGTGTTGGAATAGCCGTACTCAGGGCTGCTTATATACCATTTGGAAAGATTCTTCGGGAATCTTCCGGAACATTCGCGCTCCTCCTCTTCACGTCAGCGCGCCAGCGATGAGTCAGCCAGGTGGGCGGGGCCGCACGAGGGAGCGAGGCGCTGAAAAAAAACGACAAACACAGATCGCTCTAGAACTTTCCTAAAGATTATCATTAAGGGTAAGTAAAGAGCTAACCTGGATTGCCGCTAATAACGCTCCCTTGTTCTGGATTGAGCTATAACCTACTCTTGAGTGACTTTTTATCGGGTCGTTTACTACATCTCCCATCATTTGTTTCCTCTCTGTACTATCGCTCGTCCGTAAAACCCTACTAGAGTGCTATTTCAGTGACTCATCAACAAATCGATCATTTGTTTATTAAGCAACAATGGTCTTGTGCATAATGCCTTGCCTAATAAAAAGTATGATGCATGTAAATGTGAGAGATCTCGACCGTTTCGAAAGAGGCATTTTCCCACATTAGTAAGAAGCTGACCATTCGGTGCTCAATGTAGCCAACGAAGCTTAGCAGGTATGACTAGTTCTGTCCGCAAAGCCAACAATGGCCGCATTTAAAAAAATCCATTATTTAAAAAGTATACTGCATGTAACTGTGAGAGATTTAGATCGTTGCGAAAGAGGCATTTTCCCTCCTTAGCAAGAAGTTGACCCTTCGGTGGTTCATGTAGCCAACTTTTATCTTCTATCGTTAGCAGGTACAATAGTGCTGTCCACAAAGCCAACAATGTTTGTATTTTTTTTTGACAAAATCCATTTGAAGAGCAGCTTGTGATGGATGACAAAAAAAAGTCGGCGCCTCTTTGGATGTGTCACAGTTTCGTCCAGAACAGATAAATGTGCATTACCTATACCTGAAGGTGGTGACTACCGAGAATGTGACCTAGATACGGTTTGTACACAGCTTGACAACAAGGGCCATTTCTCTGTGGAAGTGAACCGTCCGAAGAAAGCAGGACGTCACGAGAAGAAGCAGGAACCATTGTCAATAATGGACCGTTCTTACCAAAATTGTGGATATAAACCGCCGTGAAAACCAGGGGGGTGAGTAGTTTTATTGTGTAAAAATAAATGTGCAATGTAAGACACTCCAAATACGGAAGGTACCAAAACTAATATCTATAATTCAATTCGTCTAATTCACCACAGCTAATCATATTCATGGTTGCGATTTACTGATCATTGGCGTAGTCGGCTGGGTTCTTCCGGCCAACCTGATAGTTCTTCTTCTTGGCCCAATCGTAAAGCAGATAGGCGCCAATACATTGTGGTAGGTAGTACGGCCACTCATACCAAACATAATTCTTGAAAACCTTAATCAAAACGATTATAACGAGGATACACATAACATTCAGAGAATTAATCAGTAGGAGTAGATAACAATACTGAGGGAAATACCTTTACAACAGCTTGGTCCAGGAATCCCTTGAACGCCTTTTGCTCGTTCGGCGCCAGAGCGAATCGGTATTCACCATACATCTGTAAAGCACACCGAAAATTGGGAAAAATTAAATAAATAAAAAGAATAAATAAATAAATAAGAATAAGATTCACTTCAATCGGAGCAGCGCAACTGCCTCAGACTTCTCGGTTAATACGGACAAAATTCCCTTGGAAACTTAACCCTAATGGGAATCGAATGTTGGTCGACGGACTACTTGAACTCGGCCCTTTAAGCTGCCTCACTCGACGCTTTCGTCTGCGCTCTCTCATCTTATCAGCGGCTGATCACCACTGCGATCTCACACATTCAAACTTTTGCCACAATGCAACTGGCTCACCCACCTCGGATTCCCTCCCCCTTACAAGGCTTAGTCCTAAGGCTCTCACCTCCCTCCTTGGGATTTGGAGCCGAGCCAGGCGCCATTCTCTGATCGTCTGTGCTCTCCGCCATTCGGTGGCAGGACCATGGGACGAAAGTGCAAGTAGTCCGTAGTACTGCTTACGGACAACTTGAACTCGGTCCTTTAAAACCGCTTCGAATTGATGCCTTCGCCTGCGCTCTCTCGCCTGAACAGCGGCTTATGGTTACTGTGATCTGATGCATTCAAATTTTGCCACAATATGATTGACACACCCACTCCAGAGCCCCTCCTCCCTCCAAGGCTTAGTCCTAGGGCTCACAACCTTACTGCTTGAGATTTGGAGCGGAGCCAGGCGCCGTTCTCTAATCGTCTGTGCTCTGGCCTTTCGCGGCAGAGAACACAGGGGCGAGTTCAAGTAGTCACGTAATCCTCGAGACCGGAAACAATGGGCAACCAACAAAACTTGGATCTAAAAAGAAAGTTATAAAAAATGAAAGATGAATGAAAGATCTTCACCTTTCCGAGCGCTCCGAAGTGCTTGCTCATAGAAACTGCGGAGGCACGCATGTTGACGAGCTGTACGAATAATACAAATAGGAATAAAAGGAGATGATAAACACAAGCGGAATCAAAATCAAAGGCAAAATAGACGCAAGGAAAAATAAAGGGTGTCAAAACCTTCGCAAGACCGAGCAGTCACAACTTTTCCCGATAACCATTTATTCAAAAATCTACGCTGATTTTACGGTTCTTTACTACATTTGAATCAACCTATTTGCTGGCTGCGAATCTATCAAAACGTTCAAGACGAGACAGTTCCGGATCTTCTTTTTGTGTCTGAAGCTCTTCCTCACGTGTTCGCTTCCACTCATATCCAAAACCCGGTGTAGGCGCTGGTGAACCAAAATTCGCAGATGGTCCTTGGTTCAACTTAGAACTGCCATCTAGTTGTCTAGCATATAATGGTAGGTATACAGGCACAGAACCAGAGATCTAACGAAAACGGCAAAAATTTAGTTCTCAATATGAAAATATTATATTGTAGCACTATAAACCAAGTAAAAAATCGTGCGAAATAATTGCCGATTCTTGGTGAGTTCTTTTCATGAAGGAACGAGATTAGTTAAGGAATTTATTCAATAGAACTGCATATACAGGGGGGGGGCCAAAAAAAGAGTCACTTCCATTCACATTCAAAGCAGAATTAATTACACTTTGCCAGAAACCAAACCGAATGAGCTCAATTGCATATTGAAGAGCACATTCTATTCTATCAAAAAATTACATAGGGGGGCTTTCTACACCGACGACATCAGGAGATTTTCCCACGGAAACATGGTGCACGGTACGAGCTCAACGGGGTCGTCGAGAAACCATAGACGATTACGACGTCTCTGAAACGCTGGTCAAAAGCCATCTTGCATAGTCAGAGCTAGTGTCCCTAAGAAGCCATTCACCAGTTATCCGATTGAAGAATTTATGTAGCAGCTTCAGAATGGAGCGATTATGGTAGGCCTCCTTGAGCTCGACGGTGATGACAGATGACGTCATATTCTGGAGACGGTGAGGCAGCGAAGGTGGGCCTGATTCTGCTTATGGGGGGACATCTAAGGAATATTTCGCCGTATAACTTCAATAACAGCGGCATCCTTTGCGACGAAAAGTTTGATGATATGCGCCATGGGCAAAGTGACTCTTTTTTTGCCCCCCCCTGTATACTTTACTTCCCCCTTCATTCGTAAAATGTGATGTTACCCAACGTAATCACTCAACAATAAGAATTCACAAGTTATGATGCAAAGTGGATAAAAAAGAAACACAATGGGCTACTTACGCGAGGACTTCACCAGTGTGCGTTCCGAACTGTGCATGATGTCCATCCGATAAATAGAGTGGTTTCGGTGGCTTCACCTCTCGACGACCATCCCTAAAAATGTCATCGGAAAATAAAAAAAAATGAAATAAGGAAAAAGTTAAAGAATGATGGCTGGAAATGACATACCTAGTGTAATAGTAATTCTCTGACATAATATGATGAATTCCACCAGGCAATGTTGGTTGCTCTGCTGGACCAGGACGAGCGGATTGTGTTTTGGGGAACCGTAACGGGTTATGATACTCAGCCTATAATAAATGAAATCCACAAAGTCATGCGTTTCTCAGAGAGCAGAGAATGAAAGGGGTTGGAGGGTGGGGGAGGGAAATGGATGAAGCGGTAGTATATGGGAGTAATGAATGAAAATAAGAAGTACGGCTGGCGAAATGGAATAAAGAAATATTCTCAAAACAATGATTAAATAAGGAAACCTGTCTCGCTGACTAAGTATAAGTAGGTGAGGTTAGCTAAAAGAGAAAGGGGCTTTTGCGCTTCTCGCAGCGCGAGACTTTTTGCACTGCTGAAACCCCAGATACACCATCAAACAGGAATGGACGTGGGGTTCTCCAGCGAGAAGTTTCCCACTGCAAATAAAGAGAGTCGATTTCTGTCCCAAGGCTGGTGTCAGAGTCACGCGAATCGCAAAAATCGCAAGTGTCCCCATTTGAACAATTGAAAAACTGAATATGAAACAAGTGGAATCACGAACAGTCGTCAGTCATCCATCACCATCAAGCAGAAATGGCGGCGGATTGGAGAGCCTCAGGCTGGTGCCAGAGTCGGCGATCCGTCGCAGGTTTCGCTGATTTTCGCGATTTGCGCGATTCAGGCGACG